CCCTGGTGAGACCCCACTGAACCCTACTTTAACCAGGGCTCTGTGGGGTCTCACCAGAGCTCTGAGGGGTCTCACCAGGCTGGTGAAATTGCACATAGCCATGGTGGGACCCCATAGAGCCCTGGTGAGACCCTACGGAGCCCTGGTGCTGGTGAGACCCTACAGAGTCCGGGTTTAACCAGGGCAGTGTGGGATCTCACCAGGGCTCTGTGGGGTTTAACCAAGACTAGTGAGACCCCACTGAACCCTACTTTAACCAGGGCTACGTCAGTGCTAACGTTTGAATTTAAAACGTATTTGTGTGAAGTGTGAAGTTAAGTCATGGATTGAACAGAAATATGAACAATTATAAAATACTTTATTATTTCATAATAAAGTAATTATAAAATAATTTCTTTGTGTTTATTTGATTCCTATTCAAGAGAATTACTTTATATATAGTCAATATAGGCTCAGAGGTAAATTTTTTTAACATTTTCTAATGGTGGTGTGCCTCGTGATTTTTTTCATGAAAAAAGTGTGCCTTTGCACAAAAAAGGTTGAAAAACACTGCTCTAGAGCCTACGCCATTCTGCATTCATTGCTGTATAATTTTACACTTTTCATTTCACTATATTGCACACCACACTATTTTTTTTTCTCTTTTACTTCCACCGCTCCAAGCTTGCTCCTGTTATGGACTGCAATCTCAATACAAACTAGTAGACCCATCACTGGAGCTATTTTTTAAAAAAAATATTTTATTTTTTATCCGATTAACCGATTAATCGGACTTAATAATCGGCTAACTAATCGATTTTGAAAATAATCGTTAGCTGCAGCTCTACAAAGGGCCACACATAATATAGAGCGGACTGTCCGGGGATCACAGTGCCTCCCATATGTGAGCAATAACACAAGTGGGCGGTCCCCGCATAATTAGAGGTGGGGTGTTGTCTAAGGTGTACTGTGGGTGGGGTCTGCGGGGGAAGTAATGACGCCATGTTGGGGGTTGTAGTAGAGCGTCGCCGTGTTTCTTGTGCATGTTGGGGGTTGTAGTAGTGTGTCTGTGTTTCTTGTGCATGTTGGGGGTTGTAGTAGTGTGTCGCCGTGTTTCTTGTGCATGTTGGGGGTTGTAGTAGAGAGTCGCCGTGTTTCTTGTGCATGTTGGGGGTTGTAGTAGAGCGTCGCCGTGTTGCTTGTGCATGTTGGGGGTTGTAGTAGTGCGTCACCGTGTTTCTTGTGCATGTTGGGGGTTGTAGTAGTGCGTCACCGTGTTTTTTGTGCATGTTGGGGGTTGTAGTAGAGCGTCGCCGTGTTTCTTGTGCATGTTGGGGGTTGTAGTGGAGAGTCGCCGTGTTGCTTGTGCATGTTGGGGGTTGTAGTAGTGTGTCGCCGGGTTGCTTGTGCATGTTGGGGGTTGTAGTAGTGCGTCGCCGTGTTTCTTGTGCATGTTGGGGGTTGTAGTGGAGAGTCGCCGTGTTGCTTGTGCATGTTGGGGGTTGTAGTAGTGTGTCGCCGGGTTGCTTGTGCATGTTGGGGGTTGTAGTAGTGCGTCGCCGTGTTTCTTGTGCATGTTGGGGGTTGTAGTGGAGAGTCGCCGTGTTGCTTGTGCATGTTGGGGGTTGTAGTAGTGTGTCGCCGGGTTGCTTGTGCATGTTGGGGGTTGTAGTAGTGCGTCGCCGTGTTTCTTGTGCATGTTGGGGGTTGTAGTAGAGCATCGCCGTGTTTCCGGAACTCTTCCTCTCGGATTTCCTTTCCAAACAACAACAAAGTCTCTGAATTCCCAGGAACTGGATCTTCAGGTTTTGCGGTTTGTGGCGTCGGCCCATCGCCCTCCCCGAAGCTCCTCCCCTCCCCCCCCCATATACATAGAAGAGGCGGGGCCGCCATTACCTGACCCCGGGGATCTCCAGCAGATTGGTCAATCCCGTCCAATTAATGTCCAGAAACTGAAAAGACAATAAAATTCCTCATTACAGACGGCGGGAATTCTCGGAGTAACGCGGGACACGGACTGAACAATTCCGACACCACGTCCGCCATCATCAATAATCTATACAAACGCCCGTCTGCGGGACGCGGAGGAAAGGGCGGCCGCGCTGTTGCCCGTAGCAACCAGACAAAGCAGGAAAATCTGATATGATGTCATTCCCGCACCCTGAATATTGATACGCCTGCTGTGAGGTTACCACGGCGACCGCCATCATTTCTGATCGATCACTTTGCATTCCGATCAATAATCTGATTGTGAACGCTTACCGGCTTCTGGATGAAGAAGAAGGTGACGGCTCCGACAAAGGGCACATCGGACAGCAACGGCGCCAAAATCAACCGCAGCGTCCCGTGTATCTGCGCAGAGACAGAGAAAACTTTATTACTCTATTACTCCGGACACAGGAACAGGCCCCTCCCCCCCGCGGGGTTCATTAACCCCTTCACACCCGGGACATCATGAGGTTATTAGCGCCATCACATGGTCATAGAGAGTCCATCATCAGCCCATTGTGAGGTGTGCGTGTAGATTTGGGTGGCGTGATGAAGGATTACAACCCCCATCAGGTTCCCAACCCAAAAACACAGAAATATAAATGCTGAAATGTCTCGGGTGCAGATTTTTCCTCACTTCCTGTCTCGGAAAACCGTTGTCACCGGCACAGGAAGTGAGGGGAGATCTCTGAAATGGGGACATGAAACCCAACGGGAGTTCTAATCCTAAAAACACTTCAATGTCGCCCCCATAGTTCTCTCCAATAAAGGGGGTTCCCCTCCTACCCTTCCCCCTCCCCCGCACTGTACCCCCCGGCGGGCTCACCTGCATGCCGTTCACGCCGGCCTTGCATAGCTTCTTCACCTCCACACTGATCTCACAGTCTGCGTTGTAGCTGCGGAGAGGACACAGGAGAGAATCACCCGACATCCCATAATAATCCTCCCATCAGAACCTTCCCACAATCCCCGGCGGCCATACACACACCACATGAGCACACAGTGACTCGGGGGGGTCGCCATGCTGAGAGTTGTAGTACCACAAAACATCCAGCTCATTACACACACGGGCCGGGAGCGAAAGACCAATCAGAGATTCCGCCGCTGAACGCTGATCTGTGATGGTATGGGGGTGCAGACACATCTAAGGACAGGTGAGGTATG